CATGCTACATATGGGGAGACTTCAAAACTTTCACGGAGGGGCCAACAGGTGGTGTGGTAGTTAAGGTGCTGGACTCCCATATGGCTGACCACGGTGTGAGTCCTGGATCTGGCAGCTTAATTTTTTACTTTCTCCCTCTCTGTCTGTTTAAATTAAAATATAATAATAAGTAAAATTAAATACATAATTATTAGAAAAGACTATTTTCATGGGAAAATGTATTTAAAACACAGCTTACTTTGGTCCACAAAGTTCTGACATCCATGCATGGTGTTTTCATAATATGCGTTTTCCGTAACTTTCTGAAGACCTCTCACATATGAAGTGTATACTCTTGAACTTACCCAGCACATTTACCTGTATATCACATTATCAAATGGACAGAGGCCTAACATTTTTTTCCTCTAATGCTTTTCTTCCAGATGAGCACATCGAATATCATAAAATTTTCATTTTCTTCTAATCCTTTAGAGAAAGATGAAAAACACATAAATAACATTATCTCAGTGTCCTTTTTTTTCCCCAATACAAATATGAAGAAAACATTTCAACCGAAGAATATTTACCCAAACCGAGACTAGCCAGTTCTGATGCAGGGAGTCCTAAGATATCTCCTTTCCTCTACAAAATATGAAAAGGCTTTGTACTTAATAAAACCTCTGATATATAAACACATGAATTACAACTTTAGAAAAAAAAGTGTAAATCTAAATATCTTGTGTGTGTCATTGTGCCACTTACCAATTTTGTGAAGTTTATTTCTTCTGGGGTGGGGGAAGGCATACAACCCCAAAAGGGTCTTCACACCCTGATCCAGCCTCCAGTCTCAGCCAACCAGGATCACATGCATTTATATGACCCGTCCCCCGTGTGCACAGGGAAACCTTGGGCTGTGAACCTGAGACCCTCCCACATGGCCTCAGAATTGCAGTGCTCCGTTACCCTTGTTCGACCATGGCTGGCTTCAATAGTGACTTAATAGCAGTCGATTTAAATATACTGAAATGAGTAAATTTTATCTTAGAAAAAAATTTTTTGATTGGAAAATAAAGGGTTGGGACCAGCAGTTATGTTGCTGAACTCCCATGTAGCCGACCACGGTTTGAGTCCCGGGCCCCCGTGGTTTAGACTCACACCGGGCGCATGTGCATGTGTGCCCAAGATCCTGAGAGGGGAATGGAGGAGAAGGGATTGCGGCGTGGCCATCTCCCCTGGGGGTGATTTCTCATTTTCTGTCTCTCTGTCTCTGTCTGTCTTTCTGGAGCATGCACGCGCCCTATAGCAAACACCTCTCCAAGAAAAAAGGAAAAAAGAAAAGAAAGGGTTCAGAAATTAGGTTTCTGCCAAAAATGAAGTCCTATGCCATTTTTAGTTTTTTTGTATTTTTTTTTTTTTAGATTGAGAGAGAGATTTTTGTTATAGTACACATGCACTTGCCAGAGAGACAGAGACAGCAAGAAACCACCCCTCAAGGGCATGGCTGTGCCACAGTTCCTTCTCCGTACTCCTCTCCAGATATGAGGCATGCATGCACATATGCCTGGCATGAATTTTAAGCCACCAGATCTGGAACTCAAACCATGGTCAACTACAGGGGAGTCCAGCAATGTAACCATTACGCCATCTGCTGGCCCTGCCATTTTAGCTCTTAAGCAATAACAATTTAAAAATCACATAGTAGCTATTTATGGGCTTTGCTTATATACCACTTTAATAAAATTCTTAAATTAATAACATGATTTTCTTACTAATTTTCCTGCAAACACCACCAAACAGATGGGTATACTTACAGATTTTACCCTCCCTATATTTTATGAAGGGGTTAATCTCTAAAAAGTACTTTTTTTCTATTTTAGCACAACTGTTTCCTTCATATAGTTTGACTCGTGGCTGCTCTGTGAGAGTAGGTGAAGGAACTGATCTGTCAGTAAATCTGTTAAAAGTAATTAAGGGTTAACCACATTTCCTTCTCTTCAGCTGGTGAAATCGTTGGTGATTCAGGACTGCTACTGCTAACATGTAAAACTGGCAAGTCAGTAGAGAATAAATGTAAAGCATAAGGGATTAATGAATACTATAACAATATAACTATAACAAGAAAACAATGTAACAAAAAGTAAACCACAGAAAGAGAATAAGAAAGACACAAACTTTTCAGGCCAAAAACTATTTTAAAAACTTGCCACCACGTAATATGATCTTAGAATCTATTCAGTTTAAAAGCATCACACTTGAAGCCAGCTGGTATTGTGGTATTTGAGGTGGCTGAACCCCACATGGCCACCCAGACACTGTAGTTTGAAAACCACACCAGGTACATGTGAGTACATGCCCAAAATCCTGCAAAAAGGGAGAAATGAAGAAGGGATTGCTGTGTAACCATTCCCCACAGCGGTGCTTTCTCACCCCTTTCCCCTTTTCTCTCTAGTGAGCACCCTCTGGCAAATTATATTTAAAAAATAATAATAATAACACTTGGAGATAGACATTGGTACAGTGGTAAAATATGACTGCAAGGCTGAACCACATGCAAGTGTTCTAGGTTCACATCCAAAGACCTCCCTAAGTATTGGGTTGTATCAACATATACATTATACTGGATTGTTAAGAAAGTCGTAGTGCATTTTTGCATAGAAAAATACATCATAACTTTTCCAATGACCTAATACTTTGAAAATGTGAATGTCTAAGACTTAGGGTTGGCTCAAGGTGGGAGTGAGTTTCAAGACCCTGTTGTCAGTATTCTTCTCTGTCTCAGGGAAGAAATAAATCAGCTTAGAAGAAAAAAAAAATCACACTTAATCTAAATCAAGAACTAATTTAAGAATAAAACACCATAAAATAACCTACTTAAAATAGCAATAGGCTTACAGAATGCTTTTTAGAAACTTAAACCTAAGTTTTAAGACTCTCCAAATTTTACACAGCTCTAAATATAGGGAAGAAAGGGGGTAGTCAGATAATTCAAATAAAACTTTACTTTTATTTTTGCTAGAGGGTTTGTACACTTGCCAGAGAGAGACAGAGGGATAGAGGGAGGGAGAGGAGAAAGCACTCCCCATGAGGAATGGTCACTCCACAATCCCTTCCCTCCCATTTCTCTTTCCTGTTGGGACTTTGAGCATGCACATGCACAGAAACCTGCTGTGTTTCTCAAGTCTCCAAGTCCAGGACTCAAATAGTGCAGATGGCCACGTAGGATCTGGCTTCCTCAACCACCAGGTGACAGAGCCAGCCCCCAAATAAATTTTCTTCTTTGCAATTACTTAATGAGGGGCATCATGGAGCAAAACTTATCTACCTAAAAATACAGAGATCCCTGCTTAGTTAACATTGAAACCTTTGATAAATTGTCTTTCCTTGATAACCACTGGCATCCTTTCCGGTGTAGTTAAGAATTCAAGCTCAGTTGTGTCTACAACCATGTCCAAATGACCAACTGAAAAGTAAAAAACCCAAACTAGCTGTTTTCATTCTGCAATAAACAACAAACCCAACGCTATGTACCCAGGTGTACTATCTTAGTCTATCTGTGGTGCAGTAACAAAACACCTGAGACTGGGTCATTTGCAGGCCTCCAAAACTACTTCTCAGTTTGGGAGGCTAGAAGTCCAAGATGAGGGAGCCACCAGGCTCCAAGTTTAGTGAAGGACTAAGGATGTTGTCTTCTAGGTTGTCTTCACATGGCTGAACAGCTGAAAAGAAAGCGCCTAAGCTAGCCTCTATCCCTAGCATAAAGCTCATCACTTCCCAAAAGTCCCGCCTCTTTGAGTTTTTGCTATAGGGCACTTCCACTTCCCAGAGAGGAAAGTGAAAAGTCACCCCAAAGGGGGTAATAACCACGCCACAACCCTTCTCTATTTTGTCAGGATTTTGTGCACGGGCACACATGCACCTGGCATGACTTTCAAGCTGCCAGATTCAGGATTTGAACTGCTGAGTCCGCCATGTGAAATGCAGCCACATTACTCTCCACATCTGCTCCAGACCCAAAGCCCACCTCTTAATATCACAACAGAGAATAAATTTCAACACATGACTTTGGAAGGGGCACGAACCAAAGCATTCAGTTTTCAGCTAAATTTGGGACATCTTAGGAAAGATTCCCCTAGTTTTAGAAGCCCAGACTAGACAAGAATTAAGAGTATTGCTTTGGTTACTTTTTAAGACTTAAACCTATGCTGCGAAGGAGTGGAACACAAAGGTATGGCATTTAATTAGACACTGTACTGGTTAACACTAAACTTGGGACTTCCCTATTCATTAGCCAATAGGTACAGCTGTAATTTTCTACAGGAATTATAATTAGAAATAATGAGAGCAATTTCTTGAGTTACTCTACCTTTAAATTATATTTCACCAAGACATATCCTTTGACTTACTAATGATTAGCCTATCCTGTTCATGTGAAAATTTAAGAAACCTCTCTTATAATTCTGTGGCATCTTTACATATGAAAAAAACTGTATGCATGGAAGAAAGGTCCCTACAGACAAATGGAAAAACCACTCTATCCCAAAAGACGTTGTAAAAGTAAAATTATGCATTTTATTCATTCATTCTATCAGAGAATTGCTCTACTGTACAAATACAGTATTGTACAAAAAAATCACAAAATGTTACAAAATAAAAAAGTACAAACTGCATTACTTAATAAATATTGGCTAAAAGTAGTTAAAGTGACAATGAGATAGATTCTAGATTGAAAACATTGTTTGACCCAGCAAACCATACAAGCTGTTTACAAACATTTTTATATAACACAGGACGATTCTATCTGAAAGAATTGAAAAGGAACAGAAAATAAGACAGTTTTCTCCTGCTAAAAAATAACTGCCAAGGTTTGTTCCAGGCATGTATGCTATTGTTTTTTAAATCTTAGTCGAATCCAAGAAGCTATACAAAGCAAGAGGCTTACCTTGCCACAAGTTTAATATCATGTTAAAATTCTTTTAAAACAAAATGACAAATTTAAATAAAAATTGAGAGCACCAGACAATCTACTTATACATCAACGAGAGTTCAGTACAATCACTGCCATCAGCAAATATCACTTTCATTCAAGTAAGACCTGGTACTATCTCCTTTAAAAAAAGAAAAGAAAGGAAAAAAAAAAATAGTCCACTACTTTCCCTTAACATTTCTCTTTAAGAGAGTGACTATTTCTATAAAAAATAACAATTTCCAAAACAAATGTGTTTCATCAAAATGGAATGGGCCAATCATCTAATAACACAAATCCATTAATATCTACTTGAAATAATTATCTAAGAATTATGAAATTCAAATTTCAACAACACAGCTACTAAATAGCAAACTCTGTTCAAAATAATAAACTTCATATAAAGCACTTCTCTGGATTTATGCCTGAAAGTTGTCAAAATGGAACACACCATTGATGAAGGTACACCAATTTTTTAAAATGTTGTGCAAAAATACATTTTTATAGAAAATAGACTACCAGGAATGAACAAATTTACACTGAGAAATCAGCTTGCAAATTAAGTAGTGCTCATTTTTTTACAGCAAATTATAAATAGCAGTAGGATCACCCAAAGCTATCATGAAACATCATTTAGGTGCCCAGCAACCTTCAGCTCTGAGAGAAACATTCAAAAAAATGATTAAGGCATTACACCTACAGTAAATATACTAGGAAGTTTAAAAGTGCTATTACCCTGATGAGAGTTTGATTCTCCAAACATGATTTTTGTACGCAATTTCCCAGGGTGTATGGTTTCCAGACATTTCAAGAGCATGCATTTTGTTCAATATACATTTTGGATAGGGATATGGCCATGGATTTGGCAAGTTCTTCATCGCGTTTTCTTTGCACTTGAGTTTGTTTGCACCAGTTGTCATACTCTGGGTTGGGATAGGAGTGATCAAATACCGCATCATAGTGTCCATTGCTGAGCCAACTCAGCCAAATACTAGGCCTTAAGGAATCCTCTGGGCCCAAATAATGAATCATGGTAGACACCGTGGGACTCTCCAACCTCCCTCCAGTAGTTAAGTGTATATTCACATTCAGCATCTGCCCCATGGCCAGTAATTCTGGGTACCCGGCCCACGCCCCGTCTTGGGCAGCAGCAATGATAAACTCCCCCACGTCGCCCTCAATCAGCGGGCTGAAGTGGTCGAGATGATCCGCGATGTAGTGCACCGTCTGCTCCCTCAGCTCCCGGTGCAGGCTCTGGTCCCCGTACACGGTCTTGCTGACAGCTCGGTAGAGGCAATTGCCGTCGGGAATGATGTGGAACCGGTACTTGTTCCTCTGTCGCAAGTACTTGTCCTGCTTCTCCACCTCCGCCAGGTACAGAGCTAGCTTCTCGTCTCTGGGATCCGGCCTGGAGACCACCACGGTCTCGGCTGCGCAGCTCTGAGCTGGCTCGCTGCTCCGCGCTGGGGGCGCCTCCGCCCCCGGGTCAGGCCGCCGCGCAGTGTCCGCGCCAGGAGGGTCGTTGCGGTCGCCGCCCCTCTCCCAGCTCCGGGGGCTCCTCTCCGCCAAGTGCTCCTCGCCCCACGGACCGGGGCTGGGCTCCGGGCTCCCCGGGGGCGGCGCGGGGCCTCGGTGCTTGGAGGCGGCCAGGGCCTGGCGGTGCTCGCTCAAACGGAAGTTTCTGTCGGGCCCTTCCCGGGCCGTGTCCAGGCCGGCAG